TGTCCCTCACACAGCAGGTGCTCAGGAACCATTTATTGAACAAAACCAAACTTCAAAGAGAAGCAGCCTGTCTCCTGCCCTGAGCCTGGTAGGAAAGGATCTATAGCTGTCAGGGTAGAACCACAAATAAGCCCTGGCCCATGTGGCTCAGCGGTTAGAGCAAAGGACCGTGCACTGAAGGGTCGCAGGTTTGATTCCCAGTCAAGGGCACGTTCCTGGGTTTCAGGTTCAATCCCCAGCACCGGGTGGGGCGTGTGTGGGAGGCAAGCAACTGATCGATATGTCTCTCTCACATTGATGTTGTTTTTATTTTCTGTCTCCCCCTCTCTCCCTTCCTTCCACCTTCCTCCCACTCTCTTTAAAAATCAATGGGAAAAAATATCCTCAGGTGAGGATTAACAAAAAACAAAACAAATAAGACACAGGCGAGACTCCACTACACACAGTGCAGTTCTGAGAAGAGAAGGGGAGAAATGTGCTTACTTCCTGACACGCAGTTTCACAGGACGGACGAGCCTGACACAGGGACGTGGAAGTGGCCAGCCAGGAGCGCTCGGCCTGTGGCCACGTTACACTCACCGCAGGAACTTAAATGCGAAACAGGAGAGCAGGGCCTGCCCTCAGAGACAGCGATTTAACCGTCTTGGGTGGGTCGTGGGCATCTGCGGGTCTTACAAGCCCCCAGGAGGATCCAAGGTGCAGCCTCGACTCAGAAGCACTAAGCCAGCCCACGCCCTTGTCCTGTGTGCCCAGAGAAGGGGCGTGTCCTCACACAGGGCTTACCATCAGCACTGGGGCTGGGACCGGTCCCCAGGCCCTTCCCCTTCTGCTGGCCGAGGGTTCCCCAGGAAGCCCCAGAGCAGCTGGGCTCCTCTGGGGTGCCCTCAGCCGGGATAAAGACCACTGTGCTTCCTGGACCCCATGTGGCAAGGATATCCTGTGCTCTCTACAGTTCAGTGTGTCACCTCCCCTTTGCCCACAGGGCTGACTGGTTCCTTCCTAGCCCAGCAAACCAGTTATGGGAGACAATCATTTTCCAACTTTGAACTTGCCAATTATGCCTCTCTCCTACTCCCATTTCTGCTGGAGAAGTCAATAAATCCTAGCCCAAGCCCATTTTCCAGGGAAAAGCCATGAACAGGCAGACCAAGGCCTGAGAGCACTGGGCTATGGCGGTGCAGTGTCGTGGGGTACCAGCTAAATCCCAGGATGTGCCTAAGGCAGCACCCCACTTCCACTTCTTTTGCTTGGCACATCCAGACTCAGCCAGGACCCATGACGAGCAGTGCACCTGATGTTTGAGCACTAGCAGTATGCCGAGAATTTGCTTCTCCACCCTGTCCTGCTGTATACACTTGCTCATCTTTCACGACTCGGCGTCACCTCCCTGAAACCCTTCCTGCTCCCCAGGTGGGCTGCCTCATGGTGACTCGCAGAAGCTGCACCCGTCCTCTCAGAAAGGACTCAACTTCAGTCCAGGCCGACGGAGATCACAGCAAAGCTATTGATTTATAACATGCTTCCTGACATATTAAAATACATTTTTAAAGTCTTACAGCGGATGATATGTATGGGTGTCCTAGGTGCTGGGGATAATGGAGAAAGAAGGGTCTCCTGACTGCAGCCCCTTCCCAGACAAGTAGGGAGTACATCAGGACTCCCTTGGAGATCAGAATGAAGACATTTGGTGACTCTCTGGTTGATGCCATCTCCCTCAATAGCTTCAATTTAATCCTCTAGGCAGTTTTTTGTACATTAACCCTGTGGGGAGGAGGTGCAGGTGCAGGGGGTGCCTGTCAGCCTGGGGGTGGCCCCAGCCTTCCACACCCTCCATACGATGTGCACGTCACTAACACTACACTCATCACCATGTATTAGGGGTCTGCCCTCCCCCGAGTGAGGGCTAAAAATGTAAATCTTAAATATCTACGAGTAGGAAGCTGGCTAAATAAAAATCAGCACATTTATATGATGACATAAACATAGAGGCTGAGAGGGATGAGCTAGATCTCTGCTTATCAATGAGGATAGAGCTAAAAACAATTGGTGTTTAGCTGCTGGATAACAATTACAGCATGATTGCATGATTTAAAAACATACTCCAAAACCACTTTTTTGGGGTGGATACATTTATATGTACGCAGATCATTGTCTATAAATCTGCAAGTTCAGTGCAGAGACAGACCACACCTCATCTGTCTGTGTTTCATCTGGACCAGTGCAGAGCCGGGTGCACAGTAGGGGCTCAGTAAACATGTTCCACATGGGTGCAGCACTGGGTGACCATTGGAGCCTTGTCCTGGAGCGATGGATCTGGGCATTTCCCCAGGGGCCACAAGGGAATTCCTCCGACACTGGCCCTCTCTCTCCTCCCCACCCATCCTACCCCCAGCTAAGTCTAGAACCCATAGCTCCATTAAGAACTGGCAGCTCCCAACCTGCCCTCAGACCCAGACTGAGCTCCTGCTCTGTTCCTCTGCTCCCTTGGGCACTGGGCTGGGAGTGGCTCAGTGAGGCCAGGTCCTCCTGGTAAAGTGGAATGTTAGAGGAGATTCACGTGTGTATTTGTGTGTGTGTGTGTGTGTGTGTGTGTGTGTGTGTGTGTTGGGGGAGCAGGCTGCTTCTCAGAAGCTGGGGTTGGAACACAGAGAATAAGCAGACAACGCCCCGACCATTAACTAAACTGTCCTACTTCAGTCTCTGATCATCTGCTTCCAAATGAGGAGGAGAACTAGATACTCATAGCCCTGATGGCTAACTTACCATGCTGAGAGCTGAGAACGAAACGAACAGGGGTCCTAGAAAGGCACGCAGCCTGGCCTGCTGCAGGAGGCCTGCCAGCTTCCTGAGGGGCCAGCCTTAACAAATCACCAAAGGCTGCGGGCTTAACAAGACAGTTATTTCTCACAGTTCTGGAGCAGTCTAAGATTAAGTCTTCCAACAGACTCAGTTCTTAGTGAGGGCTCTCTTCCTGGCTTGCAGACAGCCACCTTCCTGCTGTATCATCACACGGCGGAGGGGCAAACTCTGGCATCTTCCTCTTTTTATAAGGACACGGATCCTATCATGGAAGTCCCATCCCTATGACCTCATCTAAACCTAATTACCTTCCAAAGGTCCTACCTCCAAACACCATCACATCCCAGGGGTTAGGGCTTCAACATATAAATTCCAGGGGGACACAAACATTCAGTCCATAACAGTCCTATTTATAGAGAAAAGGCTTCAGATGCAGGCTGTTTGTGTGTTCGTGTTTGTGGGGTGTGCTTTAACAGAACTTCAGTGTTCGTAATGAACATCAGACTTTCTGGGTGGCAGCTTTTCAGAGACTGAAAAGGCAGAACATGGAGGGAGCTGGTGAGAGGGAGCCCACTCTGCATCATCAAGGCTGGCCCTGAAATGCGGGCCTCATTCAGGCAGGTGCACATGCAGTCACTGTCTTGCAAGGGGTGGGGCCTGGCTAGCGCTGGGTAAGTGCTAGGGGCCCGGCGCTGGAAGAGTGCCAGCTTTTCTGGAGCTCACAGCTGTGGAGGAGCCAGCTATTGAGGGGTGAATTGCAAAACTTTTACCTGTCCTCCAGGTTTTGCACATGTGTCCTCTGTCTAGGACACCCTGTATTTTCTCTGTCCCATTTCTCTGGTTGTTCCTGTTCATCCGTCAGGTCCGGAGACATGTGGGGCCCTCTGGGGGCCTTGCCCTGTTTCCCCTCGTCTGGTTTTGAGTCTCTCAGGGCTCATCACCCCAAGCTGGCTCTGCTGTTTGCTTGTCTGAGGACAAGACTGTGAACCATGCTATCTCCAGTACCCAGCGTGGCCTGCTTCTTGCAGGCAGGTGGTGCCCTGAGCGAGCGAGTAGTGGATGGCAGGCCCTTGAAAGGCAGGGATATCTGTACAGATGTTGCCTGAGAAGGGTGGTTGGAAATACGTGCTGGAGGGTTGAAAAACAATAGGAAAGGTCACTGCAACTCCAAACACACCTACCCACCTGATGGACTCGCAACACCTCTTTCTTGCCCCACAGACAGCCAGATGCACATGCCTTATGCCAGTCTTTCTGGGCTTCTGAGACTGCACCCTCCAAAGCTGGGCATGAGTCAGGAAGGCATAAAGGTCAAAAGTGCTAGATTGCCCAGGTTTAATCCTAGCTCTACCCCTGGCTAGCCGGAGACTGTGCAAGTAACAACCTCTCTGCGCCTCAGTTTCCTCACTTGTGGAACAGGGATGAGTACCACTTATTTCTCAGGGTTACCAGGGGATTAGATGATAGAAGCCTTGTAAAGTCTGAGGGATGGTGAAGGCGCAGAGGCTTAACAAGTGCTGCCTCTGACTAGTGGTCCCCACACCTCCAGTGGCCCTGCACTGGTCACTCTTTAAACTTCAGTTGACTAATCTGTAAAATGGAAATGATAATAACGATGATGATTAAACCAGAAAGTCAGACTGCATTGTAATCTGTTGTCTCTTCTGTAGGGGAGTCTGTGCGGCTGTGCGGCGCATTCAGCTTCACCTCCCACGGGGACCCTCCGCTCGGTGCAGAGGGGAGGACCACCCTGCATTCAGGCCCCAACACCCAACCCAAGCCCCCAGAACCCTTTTTAAAGAAAGTCTGCTGTGGGTTTGTCTGGGTGGTCCGAGGGACGTAAGGAACATGCTGGTGCCTGCTGGTGCCCGGGAAAAGGGGGGCCCAGCAGTAGGGGCGGGGCCGTGACCCTGAGGTCTCCGACACCTCGGTGCAGTCTGGTGATTCCAGGAAAAAGGACTGGAAAGCAGGGCAGAGGCGGCGCCGCCCCGCCCGGAGCCGGTGACCTCCGGCTTCCGGCTCCGATAACGCCCGGCCGGGCGGCGCTCACCCAGGGGGCGGCCCGGGACACCGCTTTGCCTGGGGCCCTGGGCCGCGCTCCCTGCCCGCCCGGAGGGCCCGCCGCGGGGCGGGGGCGGGGGGCGAGGGCCGGCGGCAGCCTCCCGGGACCCGCCCGCCCCGCCCGCCCCGCCCCAGCTTACTCTGCAGGCTGCAGGCGGCCGCCAGGCAGAGCGCGAGGACTCCCAGGGAGATGCCGCGGCGCTGCCTCCTCCGGCTCCGTAGAGGCCTCATGAGCAAGCCCCGGGCGGCGCCCGGGCAGGGGCGGCTCGCCGGGCATGGGCTGCCCGCTGCGCGGCCCGCTGGGCGCTGCCGCCGCCGCTCCCGCCGCCAGCCTCCTCTCTCCTCCTCCTCTGGCTCCCGCCAGTCCCTGGAGCTGGCTGGCTGCACTCTGGTGGAACCAGTTCCCAAGGAGTTGGAAAGAGAGAGAGGGAGAGAGACAGACAGACAGAGGGAGGGAGCGAAGGAGGGAGGGAAGGAGAGAGAGAGAGAGAGAGAGAGGGAGAGAGAGAGAGAGAGAGAGAGAGAGAGAGAGAGAGAGGCAGTGGGAGTGCACACGCTTAGAGGTAAATAATGGCCAACAAAGGCAGCCTCCTTCCGTTCACACCCAGTTTACTGTATTGACTCAAAATTCAGCTGGATGCTGAGTGGCAGGAGCCAGGGACAGTACTAGCTGTTGCCTGAGGACCAAGTGGGACCATCTAATGACTCCACGGGAAAGGAGAAGAAGGCTTTAGGAAAGTGAAATGACAGCCTGAGGGGAGAGGAGTGAAGAGGGGACAGGGAAGCCACAGGCTAGTGCTCTGAGTGTCAGTGATATTCCTTCCATCATCCGTCCATCATCTATCCACCATCCACCTATCCACCCACCACCATTCATTTATCCACCACCCATCATTCATCCATCCATCCATCCATCCATCCATCCATCCATCCATCCAAGAAGTGTTTACGGAGAGCCTCCTTATTTGCACAGGGCCTGACACATGGCAGATAGAGAACACTGGTGGAATGAAACTCTGCTAAGTGCTGGGGATACTATTATGAACAAGCTGGATATGGACACCTCTTTAGAAATCCTAGCAAAGTGTGGGGCCGGAAACATGAGCAGTTGCTGGACAGTGCATATGTCACTCCGGGAAAAAACCCACCAGTCTATTTTCTCAAGACCTTAAGAGCTATTTTTCTCTTCCAAGAGAAGCAAATGATGTGTGTTTAGTGTCCTGGCTTTATGACCACCATATATCATTATACAGTTCTCATTTTTGAGGACAGTTCTAGCTTTAAATATGCTCCTCCGTTGTTCCTCTAAGTACATATGAATCTGTGAGACCATATATCCTGGTGTTTGGTTCTGCAAAATTGATCACCATCTTCAGATGACGTATAGTAGTATCTTTCTGTGGTTTATGTAATCACAGGTGATTCAAAAAAATAAGCACAAGTTACATACAATAGAATGCACAGATTATAAGTATCCAGTTCAATAAATTATTTATAAGCACAAGTTACATACAATAGAATGCACAGATTATTAGTATCCAGTTCAATAAATTATTTTTTAAAAAATATGTTTTTAGCCCTGGCCGGTTTGGCTCAGCGGTTAGAGCGTCGGCCTGCGGACCAGAGAGACTCAGGTTCAGTTCTCGATAAGGGCATGTACCTCGGTTGCAGTCTGTCCCCAGCCCTGGTTGGAGTCCTGTGGGTGGCAACCAGTTGATGTGTCTCTCTTGCATTGATGTTTTTCTCTCTCTCTCTTTCTCCCTCTCTCCCTCCCACTCTATCTGAAGATAAATGCAAAAATGTCCTCTGGTGAGGATTAAAAAAATGTTTTTATTGATTTTTTTAGAGAGAGAAAGGGAGAGAGATAGAAATATTGTTGCAAGAGAGAAACATCAATTGGCTGCCTCCTGCATGCCCCCTACTGAGGATCAAGCCCACAACCCTGGCATGTGCCCTGCCTGGGAACAGAACAGGGACCTCTCAGTCCAAGGGAGGATGCTCAATCCACTGAGCCGCTCCAGCCGGACCAGTTCAAGAAGATTTGATATATGTATACATTGCTGGGACTGCCATCCAAAATAATCGCACACTTCTATCATCTGAGAAAGTTGCTTCACGCCTCCCTCCAGTCAGTCTCTCTCCGGCCCGCCTCTCTGCCAGTTCCACACGATGGCCTCTCTCATTCTTATCACAGTAGATTAGTTTTAATGACACAGAAAGATGGCCCTCTGTTTCGGTGCCTCACAAAGTTGCAACAAGTTCAACTGGGACAATATATCTATTTTTGAATTTCATATAAATGGAATCATGTTCTTTTGTGTTTGGCTTCTTTCATTCAACACAATGTTTTAGAGATTCATCATCACGTTGCATATGCGTTTCTTTTTAAATTTTTTCTTAATTGAATTTTAGAGAGGAGGGAAGGGAGAGGGAGATAGAAACATCGATGAGAGAGAACATCAACTGGCTGTCTCCTGCATGCCCCCCACTGGGGATCGGGCCCACAACTTGGGCATGTGCCCTGACCAGGAATCGAACCAGTCACCTCTTGGTGCAGGGGTCGATGCTCAACCACTGAGCGACACTGGCCAGGCATGTTTGTTTCTTTTTATGCTGAGTAGTATTTGCTGAGTAGTATAAATATACCATGGTTATTTATCCATTTTCTTATTGACAGGCATTTGAGTATTCCCCAGATTTTGGCTATTATGAATAAAGCTACTATGAATATTCATGTTTTGTCTTTACATGATCACAGGTTTTCACTTCTCTTGGGTTAATACCAAAGAATGGAATTTCAGGGACATAGGGCAGATGTATGTTGAACTTTATGAGAAAAGAAAAGGACAATTTTTAAAGTATTTGTGACATTTTACACTCCTACTAGCAATGTATGAAATAGCCAGTGGTTTGTACTTCCTTGCCAACATTTGTCAAGTCGAATGGTAGCCGGTCTTTTGAGTGTGAAGTGGTCCCTTATTGTGTTTTATTTTGGGGGGAAAACTCTCTCAGCCTGGTTTCAAGCCTGTCTAATAGATAATTTCGAATACCTCCCCAGACTCCTCCGATTACCCCGCTCTGTGTGTCCCATTAGAACCGGACTTTTCTTGTGCCTGGAACTCTCCTTCCTCAGTGATAGCTGCTAGACCAGGGTGAGGAGGTAGGAGTGGAGAAGGAGGGAGGCGGGCAGAGAGAGGACACAGAAAGGGAGACAGAGACAGGAAGACAGACGGAAAGAGGCCGAGCGGCAGAGAGACGAAATCAGACAAAGAGAAATAGACAGACAGTGAAGGAAAGGGGGTAGGTGCTGAGTAAAGGAGAGGGACAATGAGAAAGCAGGAACCGTCATAAAGAAACAGAGGAAGAAGAGGTGCGTGGGGAGGGGACAAAAAAGAAAGTGAAATGGGGACAAGGGGGGGGGAGGGAGGATGGAGGTGGAGATGAAGGAAGCATGGGGAGGAAAGCAAGGGAGAGAAGCCAAGTCCTTCCCATGCTACCCATCCAGCGGGCAGGCCTGGAATGACCTAGGATGGGAGGGAAGTGCATTTGCCACGAGATCTGTGTCGCTCTTGGAAGGCTGATGTCCAGGAAGCAAAGCGGAGTGGTGTTGAGAGCATCCCTCATCAATATCACAGGCCCCAGCCAGCCCTAATGGTCCTTGAGCCTTGTGGGCTGCAAAGGGACGGGAGAGCTAACATGTTGGTTGGGCAGGTGCCAGGCTGTGCTTACAGAGATGGCACTTCCCTGGGCCCACCTGGGGTCTGGTGCCAGGCTAGGGCCTAGAGACTGCTCAGACAACTGGAGGGTAAGGAGTCGTGTGTTTGGGATGATGGAAACATGCTGAGTCCAGTTCCCTGCCTAGGCCTGACCAGGTGACAAGCAGCCACTATGAGTATAGTTAATGGTCAGAGAGAAGCAACTTCTGGCAGCTATGTTATTTGAGAAGTGTTCAGTTTGGGGTCATTTGTTCAGTCAACAGACACTGAGCCTTGCCTGGATTCGATTTGTCCTCAAAAAGCTCAGTCTAGCCAGTAGGAGGTGACAGTCAACTAAGTTACTAATGAGACTAAAATATATCCTACAAAAGATGAATACTAGAGCCCCTTTCAAATGTCAGGAGCTCGATAAAGATTTATGGAATGAATGTACCAAAAAATGTTCAACCCGTGTATCTGGTAGCACAGAGGAAGAAGGGTTATTTATGAACAATTCTTTGCACAGGATTGAATACATGAGCTTCATGCAATTCAGTTGGCTAATTGGGCCGGTTACCTTGCACTGCAAGAAAAACGCAATACTGTCCGGGGAAGTAGCACTCTAAGTGGCTGCCCTGCTCTGCTACTTCCCCATGAACTATTCATGGTGTTCATTTTTACAGATATTTACAAACCACATTGACTCCCTTAAAGCTCCTATCCATCCTGTGAGGTGAGCAGGGCTGGCACCTTCCTCTGCAGTTACAGAGGAAGAAATCGAGGGCCAGGCAGGCTGGGTGTTGGGCCCAGTTGAAGTGCTGAAGCCACATCGGGAATGCAAGGCTCCCTGCAAGGCTCTGGCCCGCAAACCCAGTTCTCAGTCCACCAGCCCCTGCAGCCCTCTGCATGCTCAGCAAGGCTAACGGAGGGGCTCTGACGGTGGGGGGAGGGGGGGTTAGGAGGAAAGTTTGGTGGTGGAAACTACGTGCTGGCACTAATGAAGCTTTATGTAAATTACTTCAATTAACTGTCACAGTGCCATTATGAGATGGGAGTTATTATCTCCATTTTATTTTTTACTTTTTAATTTATTAATATTTTTTTCTTTATTGATTTTAGAGAGAGGAAGGGAGAGGGAGAGAGAGATAGAAACATTGATGAGAGAGAACATCGATTGGCTGCCTCCTGCATGTCCCCTCCTGGGGATCTGGCCCACAGCCTGGGCATCTGCCCTGACTGGGAATCGAACTGGCGACCTCTTGGTACATGGGTCAGTGCTTAACCACTGAGCCACACTGGCTGGGCTTAAATAGCGTTCTTATAGTCTCCTTCCCACTGTCATTTTAATATGTACAGAAGCCCCCAGAACCTGGAATCCAGGCCCTGATCTCTGTCCTCCTTCACTCTGTTGGTCAGTTTGTATTATTAGTCGGGCCTTCTCCAATGGCAAGTGATGGAAACCCATTTTAAACTTGCTTAAAGAAAAGAAGGATCCCTGAACATGGCAGAGGGCACAGCCACCTCTGCTCCTGTTTT